GTGTGTATGTGTTCCTGTATGCATGTGCCTACTGGGAATTCTTGCTCAGCCTCACTGCTGATGGGACCTGGGACATGGAGCTCCATCAGTTTTACTTCACTCAGCTTGTCGGTGCTGACACAACATATTTTCCCCTAACAGGTACTAGGCTAGAGAATACATAAGAAAATCCATGGATGATTCACAGATGAGACCAGTGTTTTAGAGGTCTCAGATTCTGCAGAGTGTAAGTACAAGGAATAAATCAAACACTGCTGATTTAGTTTATTTGCCCTCACAGAAATATTTGAAACTGAGTCCCCCATCCACCAGCTTTTCTGTTTGCCATCAATGTACAGAATATGGAACTTCAGCTGCAAGGCAGAACATTTATACTTGTTCTTTAAACCTTATGCTGATTTTTGAATCATGATTATGGAGAGAGAGAACATGCTGAAAAGCAGTAGCATTTGGCTGAACTTCACTGAAATACCCTGGAAAAGGATGGACTGCCAGCAGGCAAATGCTGAGTGAATTCTTTGATCATAAAACCTATCTGGTGCCAGACAATCCTTTTGATAATATATGAGCCATGAAGAAACAAAGCATTAAGAACAACACAGCACCCAACCAGGTTGCAGGGGAGGATTCAAGATTAACTTTTGTTTTCTCCTCAGGTAACACATCTCATAATGTCATCCATGGAAGCTCAGTGTAGCATGAATAGAAAAGAACTCTCCTGACACTTCTTTCTGACTGTTTTAGCCTGTACAGGTTTTTTTATTACTTTGAGTCTTCTTCCAGGGAGCTCTTACTGACCCTGGACTGTCCCTATCTTGAATTTTGGTTCTTAAACCAAATCATCAGAGCAGAAAGCTCACACACTCTACATTGCCAAAAGTATTCACGGTCACAATCAGTATCTGTGGGAAGAGAAAGTAAAACTTTGTGAATTTCAAAAGATGGAGTGTTTTAAGCACAGGTAAGAGGAACGCTAACCTTCTTAGTGACAATTTGTTTATCAGACTGCCTTTCTTTTATGGTAGCTCAGTGCTGATAGCTGGGTTGGGCTGTCTGGAAATGGTTTAGTGTGTCCTGTCTTGTTTTTTTAAAAAAGAACGAAACAAATTTGAATGATTCAGAGCTTGCAACTGCCTCCAAGAGTTGTTCTCATTCTTCAAAATAATGCAGAAAATGTTGGAGGCAAAATATTTTCAATATTCTTAGAAGAACAAACAGAAGAGTCCTAATGTAAAAAGTAACAATGTTCTCTTGCCAGACAAGGACTGCTCTGTAGTACCACTAAGCCAAATGGGCTGAAGACAGATTGTTAAGCACAGAGAATGACAGTTACTTAATTCAATAACTTGGCTTGCTGGCAGAACTTGATTCCTATATTTCAAAGTGACTGGAAAAATGACAATTTCAGAAGATAGGTTCTATCAAAAGATATCATAGAAACCTCTGTCTCAAAATTGCAGATATAATGCTGAAAAAAATAAACCTCTTTTCAGAAGTTATGGTCAAGTGGACAAAAAACTTCAGAAATAACAGCAACTGTATTTAATGTCTGCGTTAAGTGGATGATGATGCAGAACTTGGTGTAAAGATCATAAAGAGCATGTGTGGGAGTTTCACCCCCCAAAAAATCCAGTTTTCAAGCTTCTCCACAATTTACCTCAATGTATGAGAGAGAAGGTTTCAGACAGGTACAACTCAGCATGGAGGTATTATATCAAACTTTATTACTAACACAATAAATACTATAGAAACTAAAAAGCAAATAAATACACAGTATTAATACAATCTCTACCACCCCTAGGGGTCTTCCCACATCAGTTCAGAAGAAAAACCCTCCAGAGTGATAGTTAAAGTCTCTCATTGGGGTATCAGGGAAGGGGTTTTTTGCACCCCCACCAGCTCCTCGGCTTCTGCTGAGGTCTTCTCCTGGGCTACGAGGGAACACTTGTTTTACCAGGTCTTCATCACAAGGTCCAGGGAGTCAGCTTTGAGTCCTTTCTCCCTGGTTCGTGAAGGTTCCTCCCAGAGAGCAAGATGTTCAGTCTTTCCTCTCCAGGTTGCAGGGTTTCTGTATCTTGCTCAGTTTTTATACCCCAAACAGTTTTCACCAAAGGTCCTTACCCAGAAAAAGCCTGCTTGGTTTGGCTTCTCTCTGTTACAGCTGCTGCAGCTTCTCAGCTTCCACATGTCACGGGGTGGCATTCATCCCCTCCTGGATTCCTCCTTCGAGTTTTGGCTGCCCCCGCCCAAACCTCACGTGGAGCCTCCTCCAAGCCCTTCGGCCCGTCTCTCCATTGCTCAGTCTCAGCTCAAGGTCGCTACCTCTCCCACGCCATTATAGGGGGGGAGAGGGTACCAGCAAGACTGCTTTGGTCTTTCTCCTCTGCCTCAAGGTCTTCCAGCTCTGCACGATCGCAGCTGCTTCTCCGGCTCCAGACCACCCCTTGGCCCATCTCTGACTCGGCTCCAAATGCCCTGCCTGCCTACCAGGGAGGTTAGCTCCAACTCCCTGGCTGGCCTCTTAAATCCATGCCACCGCCTCTCCTGGGCAGGNCCAGGGAGGTTAGCTCCAACTCCCTGGCTGGCCTCTTAAATCCATGCCACCGCCTCTCCTGGGCAGGGGGGGGGAAAGCCCCCTAGCCTTAACCACAGCACCCAGTTCAGTTTTAATACTGTCCTGGGCTCCCCGCAGCCCAGTCATTGGGGGAAAGAGGGTCTGGCCCCCTGAAAGGGGCCCACAGGCCTCTCTCCTCTCACCTCATGGCTCCAAATCTCTCTCTCACACTGGCAACAACTTCCTTCCGACTGTTGTAATATCCTAATTTCACAGCGGCGAAAAACAGCTCCAATTGGCCCCTCACCAGAAACTCACCTGGGACCAACCACTTCCAGGCCTCCCTCCCGGGAGGGCAGCTCAAACCACCACAGTATGTTATACTTTTTCTAAAGGGTTCTAAATCATAAAATGAAAAATTCTGTTATATCCCAAGATACAAAGACTGTAAGTAGGAAGTCAGCAAGCACCAGCATGTTGTCTCTAACAAGCTGAATTTTTTGTTGAAGAAAACTTGTTTTATCTTCAGAGAATTATCTTGCAAAGAGGACGATAAACATTTGTTGCAACAGTGAAAGACTGAAATGGTTCTTTAACTGATGTCATGACAGTTCAAATGGAAGAGTTTAACTTTTTGAATGATTTTATATAGCAATTTTTCAAGGATAAGTTTCGTCAACAGAAGTCAAATTTTTCATGAAAATACTGCTTCATTCAATCTATCAATCAGACGAAAGCTTGCAGCTAGGCTGAAAAAAATTCAGGAGGCTGAAAGTTTAAGACAAAAAAAAATATTAGAGCTTAAAAAAAGTTAATAATGCAGACAGGGACAGGTGATAACACCAATTCAAACCATTCAAGTTCAATTAAGGAATCTATTTTATATATCTTTTTTAAAATTATTGTTTTGCCATGCCCGATATTCAATCCAGATCTTGCAAGAAAGACTGCTGTTTGATTGAAAGTATAGGGAAACATTTGTAGGCCCACCAAACACAAGCAAAATATATGTCCATAACATGTTTTGGGCTATAGTTCCAATTTCAGCTACGATCAACTGATTACTGAGCTTCATCTTCTTCAAGCTAACTGTACTATTACAGAAAGATCACTGAATTCCATTCAGAAATATCTCTGTTTATTCACCCAAACTGAATGTTAGCTCTTTTTTTTGAATCCATGAAGTTGATAGAAATTTTTTTAAAGGTACTGGCAGCATATGCTGTAAGAGAGAGTATTTCAGTGCTCTCTGCCATATTAAAACGTAGCTTTGATCCACAGTGAGAATCCTGACTTCCATGGTATGTAATTTTATTCTTACAAAGTATTGTACTAGCCTGGTCAGTACAGATGTTGTAGAAGGGCTCACTTTTCAGCAAAAAGAGGTGAAAATTGCTTTTTGGAATTTTACTGGAGTTGTAAAAATTTTTTTGTACTTATTTTAAGAATCACAGTCTTACTATATTTTATTGTTTTGGTTTCATTTTGTTTTGTAATGTGACCACATTTTGAAGTGAAATAAACTACTTTTCATCCCAGAATTTAGGTTTTTAATTTATTAGTGCAGCTGCTACTCTGGTGTGGGGGAACTGAAAATAATGGAAGACTGCAGGAGAAAAGTCAATGAAAAGTCTTTTGAGATTGCAGTCATTGCTATTTGAAAATTACACTTTGTGTCTCAAAATACACTGGTCCCTGGTGGAATCTACATATTTTAATTAGCAATCTTTTTTCATCAATCCAGCCTAAATCTACACTGACCTGAATTTAAGGGGTACATCTCAAACAATACCTCTGGGAGAGTGGATGAAAAATATCATTGCAAACTCTGTTTTTCTAAGTATTTGCAATAACTGTATTAAAGACCAACCAACCATCCAAGCAAATAAAAACAAACAATGAAGCAACACTATAGAGAAAAAAATTTTACTTATTTACATATTATCAAGTCTCTTAAAACCAAACAGGGTAACCTGAAAAAAATCAATATACAAGCAGTAGAAACAAGTCACAGGGCAATCTTACCTTCAGGTAAATAGACCATGTAAATAAAAAAGAGAAGGAGAAAAAAGATAAGGTGAAAGTAATTCCATTGCTGAGAGGGTTTCTCTACTGTTCTTTCCCTTTTCTCTCCCAGATCTTGATATTTAACATTCTGGTGCCAAAAATACCCAATTACAAATAGGGACCTGTCCAATAAGCAAACCGCAGTTACAGGGAGTTCTGTTACCACTGTCGTAGTTATATAGAAGCTTTGTGATTGCAGTAAAGACTATGATGTGTTAGCTTTCCCACTAATTCTAAGTGCTCACCTGAGGCCTAGGGAAAAGTCACCAGTTACAGTCTGTGTGGGGCAATTGAAGATTAGCAGAATTGCAGACTCGCTTCGGAGAAAGAAGGGACTTAAACTGTTTTGTACTCTTCAGTTTTACAAACATAAAATAATAAATAAATAATAATAAAAATAAAATAAAGAGTGAATATGATAGATGACTCTGAAATCACAAAAAGTCATGGATACAATGAATAGGAATGAATATTCCCTATTTTCCATAGTGTAAAAACAATGAAATGCCAAACTTAATACTTTATCACTGAAATATAGGGTTATAGTGTGGAAAGGGGAATAAAGTGGGGACAGAATTAGTTTTACATTTACATGAAAAAGAGAAAAATTTTGAACAATTTTTTCTAGAGCAATATTTAGATTGTTTCTCATTTTGTATTAAGATTTCAAAATGTTCTGTCATCTTTTAGATATTAGATTAAATAAAACATTACATATATAAAGTAGTTTTTCTGTAGCTATGACACATTTCTCTGTAGATGTTGACTCTGTTATGGAAGTCTTAGACAACTGTGAAGAGCACACACAAAGAGAAAAATATTCAGTCAATTCACCTTGATTAAGGAGCACACTGAAGGTACAACATTTAGATTGAAATCCGCAGTGTTCAACCCCCCACAATATGAGAGTATTTGGTGTTGTTTGTATCTGTTTATGTAGGTGAAAATCTGTTTATACAACAGAATTATGAACAGCGAGAGACTGTTTACATGTAAGGTTGTATTTTGGAATCATTTCTACTCAAGAGCTGAATAAAGTAGAAGAGCAATATATTATGAATCTTTGGTAAGCAGTTAATGCAGCTGCTTATTCTATAATGAGAAAAAAAATGCCAGATAAGCTCTATTTAAAGTTTTTTACTTGAGGAGGTCAATATATTATTCTGTACTTTCATAGAGTGATGATCCGACAAAATTTCAGCAATCTTGGCATAAATTATATTATACAAAATTCACATAAATTACTATTAATATATTTGCTGAGTTACTTGCAATTTGTCAAAAGCTATTTCCACTTAGAGTTTAAATACTGTGCGAAAGAGATATGATGAAAGCAGTCATTTAGTCTCTATATGAGAGTGAGTAAATGTCAATTACCTTTTCTTTCTACAGCTGCATAATCAGAGATTTTCTGTTAAAAGAATGTTTCCTTTTCAACCTCTTCTTGTTGCTCATATGAATGAAACAATTATTTTTTCATTTTTCATTGAAGCATACTCCTATACATTATTTTTATGAATTTTATTATGTTAAAAATTATACAGTAAATTCCTCTGAAAATCCTTGCATTGAATACTAAATTATGCAATAATTCTGCAAGCAGGAAGGAAAATCTACATGTGTTATTGAGTCATGATAAGTACATGAGAAACAGAGAAAGAGCTATTAAAGGTACTAGATATGTAGAGGGGAAGAAGGTAAGAAAAGGAATATAAAAGTAGAAAAGAAAAAATTATAGTAAAAGTATTCATACATATCTTATAGAAAAGACTGAGATATGCTCTTTGGTAATTCTAGATATGCATTTGATATGTTACAGAACAGAATTAATCAACCTTGCCTTCATGAATACAGAATCCCTCTTACTAAAAGGTTTAGTACTACTCTTATATTGGTTTATATAAAATGCAACAGTATTAATGTTCCCTAGCTGCATATTCTTACTATTGGACTTGGTTTGATAGTCTGAACAAAAGTGGCCAGAAATCAAATTCTGTTGATTCAGTGCCACTGGTCTCACCAGCCTTGCAGCCATATCTCAGGGCAACTGAGTTTCAGCAAATATGCCAGAGGACACTGTTAGAACATTGGAAACAATATTCTCTGGATTTCAGGTTTTTTCATTACCTTTTGAAGCAGGGTGAGATACAAAATATTACACTTCTTACCTAAATGTAGGTATATCATAGCTGATGAATGTGTATGTTCTACATCTATAATCATGTGCAACACCTTTTCTGAATTAAGTGATGAATATCATGCTGTGTTGAGAATTATTTCTTTTCTCCTCTATAGTAGTTTTTTTCCTTTTCAGATCTGCATAATGGAAGTGAAAAGGTGAGATGCACTACTGTCATGGTGTCTTATTCTATCTTCTCTTTCTTTTTCTTTGTCCAATATAAACAAGAATATTGGCTGCATTAAATGGAAGCTTTTGCTATCTCTTTTGAATAATGTTGACCATCAAGTATTACACATAAAATCTAATTAGCGGGTTGATTTCATTCACTATCTCTGGAAAAAATGTTTCATTACTATGCTAATAGAAATAGCTCCTGTTTCTACACTGTCCTGATAGACTGTAATATGAAGCCACTAAAAGTCAAATTCCTTCCTAATTTATAACCTGTGCTATAAAGTGCTGGCTAAAGGTTAAAAGGCCTGTGTTATCCAAGTCTCTGAAGTTATACCACAGAATTTAGCTATTGATGGCTCTATAGTAGTTGAAAACTCAGTTTTCTACATTAGCATAAACCGATATATAGTATATTAAACCCAGTTTTATATGTTAGATTCTGGAAAACAAATATCACAGGTGACTGGTAAATAGAGTGACATATATATTTTTAAAACCTTAATGATTACTAAGAATTAGTGCAGATGAGCCAGCACAATTTGCATAAAATCATGACATTGTTCTGTTTAGGCTGTATCTTACATCAAGAAATTCTTTGGTGTGGTGCCAGGAAAACAAGATACCATTTGTCTTTCATATACAGAATGAGTAAAAACGTGCCATGAAAAATCATCAGGTTGCATATGTAGATTTCACAGTCACACATATTACAATCCCAATAGCTAAAGGCACAATCTGTATTTGATTTTGCCATCTCACTAGTGTAAGCCCTTTAGTAATAATCTTTCCAGTTAGCAAAACTTGTTTTTCTTCAGCTATCATCAACCGGCCCAGCTGTCAACCATAAAATTTCTGTTAATATATGCTGCTTTAATACCCCAGGACTAGGTACTTTTTTGGGGTGCAAAGTTTTTTGAAATTTAGCCCAAATGACCAGTAAATAGATCTGTATTATTGAGTGAAATAAAAACTTTTTTTTAACCTAAAGTTCAAATATCTTTCTCATATTGCTTAATTAAAAAAATTCTTTTAGATAGGTTTGAAGTATGATTATTTAGTACAGGGAAGTTAGAATTGCTGTTCAAGAAACATACAATACAAACCTAGCACACTTAACTGCATTCATCTCTGTGCAATCCTGTGATAGACTCATTGTTACATTTAAGCTGAGATGTTTCATTTCCCCTGAGGCCTTCTCCCCAGGGATCCTCCTTCCCAAGCCTTTTTCTCAGAGCTATGCCTGTATTTTGAAAAGAAATCTGCTGGGATAAGAGCTGAGAAAATGAAATCCAAGGCAGGGGATCAGAAAGTGTGAGTATGCAGAACAGAATAAAAATGGGACCAAAAGAGGACAAATAAAATTGTTGGATGAAAGAACACTAGAAAGCACATGGCTACAGGCTAAGAGAGAAATTTCTTCACCAACACCAAATCCTAAGTCTGATTATAGGATACAAATATAAGCAGTATTGGTCTTGGAATGGAAAAGATCATTTATTAAAATCTGAATATTCCAATATACGATTTACTTTGTTCTTCAGTATTTGAATTTTCATACCATGTGCAAGTGGAACCAGCTTTCACCTGTTACTTCTATCTAAGATGAGCAGCATTTTATTTCTTCTGAAATGAAAGATGTTATTTTTTGAAGTTATAAAAATGAAATACAATAAAACCAGTTGTTCAATGAAACACATAAACCTACCAACAAAGAGCCTTGATGACAATGAATTGTTTCTCTCATTTTGCAAAACTGATATGTCATATATTCCAAACACCAAACATATTGGAAACTGGAACAGAAGTGCCAAATGATTTCTTTTTCAGTATACAAGACCAAGGATTTCAGCCAGCATTCTCTATTCTGAGCTCATAATCTAATCTAATTAGATCACACTGATCTAATCTAAAAACCTCTTGTGTATATTTTGGGTCATCAAGTATAAGATTTCTTACTACTTGAGAAGGAATGAGTTGAGCTAGACTGATTTTATCCCATGCTCTGATAAAAAAACCTAACTGTGTTACAGTGTTAGTGTGTCTGAGTTCTAATGCACAGCTACCATGTCAGAAGTAGTACAACTGGATGCATACACAAGCAGCTATTGTTGTTAAAGGCACTTCATCTATATATGTTTAGGTGGAACTCATGCAATCCATGAACTTCCAAATAGCAAATGGTAACAGAGTGGGTTTGTGAAGCTGAAATGTTGCACAGCCATTAAATAGTATCACCTGACAGTCTGTATCCCTACCATTTAACAATAAGTACCCCTACCACTTAACAACAATTAAACTTCCTGGAATGTAACTGAAAATGACATATCCAATTAAATTGTTATCATAGAATCATACAATTATAGGATCATAGAATGGTTTGACTTGGAAGGGACCTAGGGCACCATTTAGTTCCAACCCCCCTGCCATGAGCAAGGGCACCTTCCACTAGACCAGCTTAATTGTGTCTTGCCAAATCCAAGTGTTAGAGAAAATTCTTGTTTGACAAATGGATCATCATTAGTCCATAAAGGGTCGAGGGGATGTCCTACCTGCACTCCAGCTGCCACTGAAGAAGTGCAAGGGCCTCCAACAATCTGTGTCCCAGCTGCCAGTCCACTATAGTTACCTCTGGTATCCTAGAGAGTGCCAACTCTCAGGCAACTATATCATGCCACATTCTGGTTTGTCTATCACAAGGAGAAAGTAGGACATGAAACCCAAACATCTGATTTTGACAGAGTGAACTTTGTTTGGATTGCACTAAAGAGAAAGCTGCAACCAAAAGTTTCCTAGATGAGAGACAGACCTTCAGATTGGAGGGTCTAAATTCTCCTCAAAAATACTTTTCCATCTACCCACAACAGGTAATGGAAACAATATTTTATTTGTATCAGCCCCTTGAACCCAGTGAATAGATATAATAATAAATGGCACAAAAATGTAGGCTTGTATGGAAAAGTCTGAGTGGAAATGCAAAACAATTGGTTACATATTTTGGATTTGTTCATGGAAAATCTATTTGTTGCTGCTGTTTAATACAAAGACTAAAAGAGTAAACATTGTCTTTCTCTTCTGTACATTTTTCACTTGCTGTTTTGACTGAGACAGAAAGTGAAAAACTTCAAAGGAATTTCTGAAATATTTATAAGTTGACCAGGACTAGAAACATCAAACATATCCAAGTGAGTACTTTCCCCGGAAGAATTTCTAAACCAATTTTCTATTTTATATCTACCATTTCAGGAAGACAATTCCTGACAAGGAATTCCTTTTTATTTTATTGTCTGCCTAAGAGTAGCATCATAAACTTGGTATATACTGGAACTCCCAAATACTATTTCTTTCAGTTACAGACTTTAATAGTCTATAGATTCCAGTCCCAGTCTTGAAGCACACAAATATAAAGTTTACTGAACTTCAATACTCCCCATATTGAAATTTTTAAAAATTTATAATCTTTCATTTACATCTAGAAATGTAGTTAATACCAAAATACAGCTAATAATCACAAAAAATGTGGAAGTATTTTAAGAAATCCTAGCAAGATTTAAAGACCAAAGAGAGGTTGTCATAGGTTTATTTGTTCTAAAAAACCAGGCAGGGAATTTTTCTTTCCCCTGCATTGCTGTAAGGGGGGAATGTTGAACAGGGGAGGGTAGTTTTTGCCTAGTGTAATTGACACACACAAAGGAACTAACCAGCAGATCCACATTCTAAGCTGATGGCCCTCTGAAGACTGTGTGGGGAGGGGTGATGGGTTTTTTTTTTCCTCTTCTCGGAAGCGGGAGGCACTTCACTTTTGCCCTAACTCGGGTAAGGTGTGTGTTGGAGGGGTCTGAGGTTCAGTTTATTTTTCGGCCTGGTCATCTGGCTGTTTTCTGGCCCCAGTTTGCCTCCGTTTTCCTGCACCCTGTTCTGACCCAGTCTAGACCTGCTCGGACTTCATCAGAGAGGCTTGACCCACCCATGGAAGGACCTTTCGGGAAGGAGGTTACCCTTTCTCTCCTCTGCTCCTGTGTTAGCAGCAGCGTGTGTCCATTGACGTAAGTGGAGAAATCCTGGCCACAGCCAGCTGCAGAGAGCATGAGTTTCATGGGAAGAGCCACCTTTTTCCCCTTTCCCCCTTCCCCTTCTTGGTGGGGAGGAAGATCTCCATTTTCGGCTTCTCCCGCACTCCGGGGCCCCACATGGCGACCAGCAGAGCTCAACAGCGCCCCCTGCCGACCAACGCTGAGCAACTGCAGGCTCTGCTCTTCCGGTGATCCAACAGCGCCCCCTGCTGGTCGTGGTTAGAATTGCGCCAAGAAAAGCGGAAAGTACTGAACTGTTTCTGTTTTGAAGGGGATTTTTTGGGTACAGGAGTACTGTTTTGTTGGTTTTGTGTTCTTTTGTTGTTCTGCCAGTAAACATACATCCTTTAATAAAGGGCTGTTATATTTTTCTTTCTCCATGCTTTCTCAATTGAAACCTCTTAATTTCGGATTTACAATTGCTTAGAGGGAGGAGTTTGGTCTTCCTCATAACTCATCCTCCTTAGCAAAACACTTCAGTCTCGTTAAACTGAGACAGAGGTCCAAATAACTGTCTAAATTTTGGATGCTTATCAGAGATAAATTGTCATATTTAGAGAGGTTAATATTTCTCTAATTTCCCTTTGATATATGTTTCCCATTACAGTGTGAAATTGCCCACATAACCAGGATTAGGTTTAAACTTAGATGCCTCAGAGATGACAGTCACCTTTCAAATGAGAGGAACCAAAACCAAGACGTAGCCTTAATAAAGAGGTTATAATTTCACTGATTGTAAGACTACTGCATTACAGATTGGTATATTGAAACATTACACCTACACAGGGCACTTCGAAAATCAGAAATGCTAAGCTGTCATTCTGTAATATGAAATTATCACCCTTGTAGATTTGACTTTTGAAGATTTTTACTCTAAAGTATATATGAGGTTAATAACATCTTGCTAGTCTCTGTCAACAAAATGGTATAATGACATTCATTTTTATTTAAAAGGGCAGATAAATCCCTTTGAAGACATAGATTTGATTTTTTTGATTTGTTATTCAAAGAAGCATCCAAGACATAATTTTGTGTTTTGAGCATGTCATTAATTCAACTCAACAGAGGTCTAAGTATAGAGCCTATATTGCAACATTTCAGAGCTGAGAGGAGAAGTAAAAATAGTTTTATTGTAAAAGATCTGGGCCTTGGTATTTCCTAATTTTACAGATTTTACTGAGTATATTTTTTTTTCCCGAATTTCTCTTTTTCTTTAAAATTCAGAGGGGGAAAGAGTGAAGACAAACTGGAAACCTCGTTCTTGATGTTACTTCAAATTAGGCATGTCTGAAGAAGGGCAACGAAGCTGGTGAAGGGTTTGGAAAACATGTCTTATGAGGAGTGGCTTGGGCAACTGGGGTTGTTTAGTCTGGAGAAGAGGAGGCTTGGGGGGGGACCTCATTGCTCTCTACAACTAACTGAGAGGAGACTGTAGTGAGGTGGGGAGTCAGTCTTCTCTGTCATATGTCAAGGGAAAAGATGAGAGGAAATGCCCTTAAATTGCACAGGGGAAGTTCAGATTAGATATCAGGAAAAAAAAAAATCATTGGAAGAGTGATCAGGCATTGGAATCAACTACCCAGGGAGCTGGTGGAGTCAAATCTCTAGAAGTGTCCAAGAGGCATCTGGATATGGCACTTGGGGATATGGTTTAGGGCTGATCATGGTGGTGCTAAGCTGACAATTGGACTAGATCATCTTGAAGGTATCTTCCAACCTTGATGATTCTGCGATTCAAATAGTCCAGCAACCCAGCCCTTAAGGTCCATGAGAATTGGCTGAAGGCTCAAAGACAAAAGATGAAGATGGAAGGTGGTTTTCTGCAGCTTTTGTTCACAAAATTAAGCACATTCTCACTAAAAATCTGGTTTTTACTCTGTATTAATCAAATGATGCTTTAACTGATACCAAGATTAGCACAGTTTCAGCTGTGAAACAAACTAAGATTTTGAGAAGACTATGTATTGTTATCTATTACAGAATACAAATGTCTTTCTCACTTGCTTTTGATTTAGCTATAAGGCATATAAGTCAAGAATGACACATTTTCTTTTCTTAAAGAAAATATAACACTAAAACTAGTATTGGAGATGTCAAATCAACATTGCAAATGTTGGAAAAATAAGATGACTAGTCTGTGAAACTTCATTAAAAATAAATAGAGATTTTCAACTATCAATTTCCTCTTTAAAATTTTATCACTACTGTCTAAAATTCAATTTGAATTTAATTTAATTTTCAAGTTGAGGATAATTTAGTCTATTGAGAATATATCTTTGGAGCAGTACAGGTTTTCTTCAGTAATTGTGTACCTCATTTCTACTGGTTTCTAGCAAAGAGCAAAGGCAAGGAGTAAAGATAAAATACCATTGGAACTCTATCTGATGACAGTTGATGTTATAAATACTATTAAAGATTTAACAGTAGGAGGCTGATGATGGAATAGTGTCAAAAGGCTTTTTCAGCTGCCAGATAATATAGTGAAGCATTGCTGTTGTTGTAATTAGGACAGCAATAAGTCAATTGCTGTAGAAGCAAACAAGTCTTTAAAGCTTCCCATGTCCATAGAAACAACACATACTTTTCCTGTTTCAGTGAATGCCAGAAAAACACCCCACCATACTATACAAAAAAGTGACACACATGAACATAGTCTACCTTAAGAAAAAAAAAAAGGCACCTCAAGTGCATTCAAGTGTCTGGGAACAGAAGCCAGCAGCACTGTGAAAGCCTGTATAATGCAGTTCACAATGTAATTGATGTTTTAATTTCCTGTGGAATACACACTAGTGTCTGAAGTGGTAAAATTCAAAGAATGACTGACAAGGTCAAAGTTTTTGAAATGCTAAAATAAAGAGCAAAATTAATTTTAAAAGTCTCTCAATCCTACTCTTTCCTTCTATGAAGAACCTCATACTCCCATGGAACACTCACAGAATCCTAGAACATTGGAAGGGTTAGAAGAGACATTCAAGACCATCTAATCCCAACCCTTCCTGCCCTCGCAGGGACACGTCCCACTAGACCAGGTTGCTCAAGGCCTTATCCAACCTGGACTTTACCACTGCCAGGGTTGGGGCATCCATGACCTCCCTGGGCAACCATCCTTCCTTCCTTCCTTCCCTCCTTCCTTCCTTCCTTCTTTATTTGTCATAGTTTTTCTCTATCATGTTGTTTTGTGTTAACCCCAGCTGACAGCTAAACACCACAGAGCCCTTGGCTCACTCCCCCCGGTGAGATGGGGCAGAGAATTTGAAGGGTAAAAGTACTAAAGACCTTGGGTTGAGATAAAGAATATTTAACAGGTAAAGAAAAATCGTGTGTGCAAGCAAAGCTAAACAAAGAATTAATTCACCACTTCCCATGGGCAGGCAGGTGTTCAGCCATCCCCAGTAAAGCAGGGCTCCAGGATGGGAAGTCAAATTCCATCACTCCAAATGTGCACCCCTTCCTCCTTCTTACAGCAGCTTTATATACTGTGACACCATATAGTATAGAATATCTCTTTGGTCAGCTGTCCCAGCTGTGTCCCATCCCATCTTCTTTCGCACTCCCAGACTCCTTGTGGGTGAGGTGGTACAAAGAGCAAAAAAATCCTTGACCCTGTGTAAGCCCTACACAGCAGTAATGAAAACACCTCTATATCATCAACACTCTTTTCAGCACAAATCCAAAACATGGCCCTGCACTATCCACTGTGAAGAAAATTAGCTCTATCCACCGGTACACACATGAACTCAACTATAACAAGAGCACTTGTTGATGATACTTTGATTGATGGTATTCTGGTGATCCTAATATGTCCCTTCTAACTGAGGATATTTTGTGATTCTATACTTTGTGATACTCTTAAGTAAGTGTAGCTTCAGAATACATCAACTTTGTTAAAACCAACGTGATCTCCAAAGAAGAATAGAGCATACAAAACTGAAAGGAGTAGAGTACTAAAATAATAAGGTAAAAGCCAAGGGAAGCCCAAATATTAATGCAAAGTTCTTAGATAAGAAATGAGTGAGTCATTTAATTCTATTCAGAAAAGAGACAACATAAGAAAACTTCTTTGGCAACATTTCCTCAACTGTTTCAGTACTGCTTACACAGAGAAATGATGATGAGAATAAACCATCATTGAGTTGACCTGTCTCATTCAGTGTTGCTTTGAAAAAGTCTGATTATTTCACCAGAATCAAGACTTATTTATTTTATTGATTTATTTTGAGTCAAAGCTGTATGTGGGACATTGTGCTGTTATTCTTGGAAAACAAATCTTTTTGTTACTTTCCCAATTTTTAAAAATAATATTAGGAATCATAAATAAGAAATTCAGGCTTTATACTCAAAGGAAAACTGCAGTACATGATTTTATGTTAGAATCTGGAACAAAAGATTAAAAAAAAAAAAAGGAAGAAACTTCTTAATTGCTGTTTCCTTAAAGACTTACATGGCCTTATTAAATCTGGAACCAGTGAAGAAGAATGAAGCAGCTGTTAGGAGTCTGAACAGAAACCAAACAACCACTTAAGAGCTTTATTGTTTTCTTTTTGTTCTTAGAGATTTATTTTATTTTATCCCATGGCAGTTTATGAAAGAACAAGAGGAAAACATTTGCTTCTGGGAACGAAAACAAGCATCAAAATTGAAGCAACTGAAATGAAAACATTGTTATTGTTTCATTTCTCTAGGATACATCTTCATGCAGAACATCGAACATCTGTCAAAGAGTAAGGAGATACTGATGAGGTTCAGAGCCAGATTTTCAAATAAGTAGTTCCATGAGCCAAGGAACTTGATTTTTAACATTTCTGGTGTGCAAGAACTCTCCCTTTAGTAAAGGCATTAATAAAGTCTTTCTCCCATCTGGCTACCTATTTTCATAAAAATCATAGGAAATTTTACAGTGTTTGAGGCCAAAACTTCATTTTCAAATCAGTGAGTGGATTCAAAAGTGATCTGAGAGAAGCTCTTTCTCTCATATGCAGAATTTGACCATGTATGCATTGTCACATGTGCCAAAAAACCCCCTCTATGTCCTTGCCTTAGCATGAAACTAAAGGACTGCAATTTGCAACCTAAGCAGTGAGACAAAACAAAGGCTTTTTGAGGGCGATCCTGGAGATCAAGCACATTCAGAAAAGCCCAGTCACAAACATAAGTTTGTCGGTCTTTCCATATTTGTTATGAGATATGCAGACTAGCTTCTGAGCTCATAGTACTGAGCCCAGCAGTGGTTTCATTAAAATACTCATATTAGGTAAAGGAAGGTTGGTACTTCAAAAGAATTGCAGCTTGTGTGATTACATCCTATGTCACTAACCTTAGAAAAGATTAAATCCTTAGGGCTGACTGATGGGCAGTTTGTGATTTCCACAGTGCTTATGATTTGCAGACTAATAGAGTGACTTTTTGGAAGGCAACTGTTCTGTTTAGCTGCAATTTTTTTAAAGTAATAAGGAATTATGTTAAAAACACAGTGTACATAGTAAGACAATTTATTTTTATTTTTAACAGTGATGCTACTTGTGAATATGAATGGCAGAGGAAGTAAGAACACAGGCAGAAGGTCTTGTAGTGCAAAAGAAGACATCCTGATTAAAAAAACCCTCCTAATATAAATCTGTATGCAGTAAATCTATCATGTTATCTAGAAAGGGTTATGAAATATTTACAAAATAAGCACTGAACATTATTTTTTCTGATTCTGCCATGTTTTTACTGTATGTTGGGGCAGAAAAAGTCATATCAAGGCAGAAGAAAGCAATATGCTAGAGCCACAGCTAAGTCAATACTTTAAAAGCAGGCTAAGTTTTATCTGAGGAGCAAAGCCAGTTTCTGCTGCTGTAAATTATGCTTTTTCTATGCAAATAATGGTCAAAAATCTTAGTTTCTGATGCCTGTCATTGACTGGAGGCTGACTTAGCTTACATCATCAAAAAGGGCACCAGAAAGAGATAGCAGATGCCACCTTGCATTGCAATCATTCCTAACTAACAAATGTAATCACTACTAAATGGACTAAAGGTATTTTATAAACCGATACAAATTTAAAGAAGTTAGGAAAAATAGGACTAATAACGGAGTGAGAAACTGAGAAGCGCTTCTTTTTTACTGCAGAAGAGTGTATTGGCTAAAAAACCTATTCACAGTGCAGAAATGAAAGAGATAAAAAAATAAAGATTACTTTACCAACATATTCATCAGGTTGACATAGTCTTAATAGAGCAGGGTATTCTTTCTCCAGCAGAGTAGCTGATGTTGGCAGTACTATAGTAAGGCTGGCAACTTATGTTAGTTCATTTTGCTTGTATTCCTTTTGGGGATACACATGCAGTATCTTGCCTAATTTGCTTTGCATTGATATGGCACAAAGATACAAAACATAAAAATTAATCCAAGTAACAACCAGACACAGCATATATTAATGGGCTCAGCCTGGAGGGAGACTAGACCAGAGATGATGGTGTATGGAAAATTGATATGGACAAACTGACTAAATAAGAATATCAAGCTATTTATATAGCATTGATCCATTGGCTTGAGAGGATGAACGTTCCTGGGAGACCACAGTTTGTTCTAATAAGTTTTATTCCAGCTGCTGGGTTAATAAGAAGCAGAAAGTTATTAAGAGGAAATATATGCATGTGGAAATATTAGCTTCTGCCTCTGGTAATTTAAAGCTTATTCACATCCTCTTTATTCTTGTTTATAGAAAAAGGATAATCCACCTCATGAATCAACCCCAGTGTTTTCAGGACTGTTATCCTTCCCATTATTTAAAGGAAAAACTAAGTATGAGGTGTATGAGACAATGTTTAACACTTTCCTAAATGGATCCAAGCTCTTGTGACTTACAGACCATGGCAGGAAGCACAGTTTACACCGGATTTTGATGCTTCAGTTTAAAAGTCTCGTTTTATAGATCTCTTCTGTGACTGATTTTTGATTTCTGAAGTTGAATCTTCTCTGTTGCAAACTGAAATGAGGTTGTTAGGAATACAGTTCCAGCCTTTTGAACTATATGAACAGCACTGCAAAGGCTTAAAATCAAAAACTTATTACATTCTACTTGGAGAAATCAACTACTTAGTCACAGAAAGGCAGTGGCAACTTTCAAATTCCAATTCACAGGATTTGGAATATTTTGATTGTTTTAATTATTATAAGGGAAATTGGAAAATGCATATTTGGGCACCTCATGACCATTATGTAATTTTCATAGAAAACATGAATAATTTGAAGTCAATCCTGAAGATGAAAGAAACAGTATCAGTGTGAGAATAAAATGAAGACTTTCTGAAAACTAGAACAACTCGAGTAATTGATATAATGATCCAAGAACTTTCAAGTGTGCTCTGGAGAGACCCAAATTTGACGTTTCCTTAAAAAGATGCCCTGCATATGAGAACATGTATGAAAGGGAAAAGCAAAAAGATTTTCCCTTTACTGATACAAGGTACATAAAAAACTAAAACACATAAATATTTTCTACTCGGAATACGGGCTTGACATTTTTCTGTTTGGATTTGAAGGGTCCATCCTCTCTGTGGGATCACTTGAAATCATGGACTTATGCCACAACTGAATAAACATCTCAGCTTTGGATGACATCCTTTCACTGAAAAAACTGCAGTGGATATTCTTGGATAGAAAATATTCCAACCATCCCAAAACTGATATTTTCCTAAGCCATTCTGTCCTGCAGTAAAGCTGACCACTACCTACCAAACTTACATGCTCCTCAACGGTAACAACAGGTACTAGCCTGCTTTTGCCCTAGAAGCTTTCTCTAATACAACTACTTTACCTTGATGAACTTGCTGTCCAGAAGAGATTTTCCATCCACACAAGTGACATAGCAGTCTTAAAGGTGGCCCTTTGACAGAAAAAAGAATTCCCCCAGCGTGAAAAAGAAGTAAAATTGACTTGACAGCTTTGCAATGCAAATATGTCACCCTAAGCTCAAAGAACACTAATAAATTCCACAGAACACTTGTTGAAAAAAACCCAAAAACCTAGGGTTTTTTTTTCAGTTTCAATTCATAGGCTGCTTTTTTGAATTTGTCTTCTTGCTAGAAATCACCAACACTTCACTTCATCTTGACAGACTTGGCTGAGAACTTGGCCTGAAATTTCTTCTGGTTTCAGTCATTTGTTGTCTATTGTTGAAAAATGAATTGTTTAACTTCCTTCCAAGCAAAAGGCAGAAACTCATGAATGTCATGTCTCTTTTATCATTTATAATAAAGATATCATATTTTCAGTGATAGGCACCTGTTGCACTTACAACTAGGTTTGCTGATTGATAGCATGCATGGCAGGAACAAAGCAAATTTCTGAACACCTGAATGCTAACTAGCATTTATTTATAGCATGTGTTTCATTTTCTCCTCAACAATTTAGTACCAAGTGTTGGTCTCTGAATGACTAATAAGAACCCAGGTGGGTGTCAGCTGGGATACTATTCTGATTAAAGTTGATTTTAAGAGTGCTAGAATTGAGTTAAGAAAAATACTAGTATTGGAGTTATAAAGCCTTTGGATTTTCTTATCCTGATGGGCATACCAGTCTTATACATGTCTGTGATACTTTTATCATCCCATTCTTACATTATTTCAATGCTGCATGCTTTGCTCTTTTCATAATAACCTAAAAGGGAAATTTCATTATGCTCATAGTTCAGGTGTACGGAGAATTGAAGCATAGGAAGATTAAAAGTGGGATAAGCCTCACCTCACTTTAAGAATCTATCAAAACTACTTGTAGGAGAGAGAGCTTATTTCTAAAGGTGATTTGTCCTATCCTAAAAAAGATGGAAGAAGTTGCCTGCTTGCATTATCCTCCAGTGGTTAGATATATCTACATTAATCTAGGTAACTTGGTTCGTCTGTCTCCCTGGTTTTCAGACTACTATATGTAGACAAGAAAAATTCCACTAGGTGATTTGTTCAAGGTCACAGAGAAAGTCTACAGAACATCAGGGAACTTAAAGTAGGCATCACATTTCTCAGATTAGCACTTTAATTGCCAGAGCACTTTAAAATTCTGTTTACTATTTAGTGTGAGATAATTTACCATCACTGCTCAAATCTTTGACAGAGGGAAAAAGATAGGTATAAAATCTCTCTTCTCTTTCATTATATGCTGCATTGCAACCTGTGATTACTTGATGTCACTTACACAGTTTTAAAACAGAGAATTTAGGAACTCAGGAAATATAATACAGAAGAAGTTTTAAAAAGACCCTGTATTAACAAAAATGCCTTAGAATTCCTAGGTGGATTTTCTCTCAAAGCTAGAATAGAGTTGCACAACATCTATTAAAACATTCAATGTGAATGTTGGTGGGCTGACTCAGAAAACCAAGGCTCAAATATTAGAGCACAGAAGGTGTTTTCTTCAGAGAGTAATGTCCTTAAGAAGAAATCTACACAGATCTGACTCCCTCCCAAAGTCTTGTTCCCTTATGTCTTCTCCATTTCTGTGATCTTAATCACAGTGTACCAAACTTTATTCTGTTTGCAGTCTTCAGTTTAGCATTTTCTGTCTATCTGGGAAGCAGGTAATGGCAATCTGCCAGCCACTGTCTTGACTGAACCTTCAAAACTACACGTTCAACATATTCAAGAGAAATGTATCTCAGGTTTCTTTCTGTATTATATTATTTGTTTTCTTTTTCACAGTTTTTAACTGCTGTGTAGTTTCAGTTGATGAATGCGGAAATACAATATCAGGTTACCAGAGACAGTTAAAGCTCAAAATTCTCAAGACAGTATCCACAATATCCTTCAGATATTGCTCTTCTTTCCTTTGCTTTTGAGCAGAGGAATAGCTTTTGAGCAGTATGAATGCAATTATAACCTATTTATATTTCTGTCTAGAATACAGATGTTTATGTTTCTTATAAATGTTTCAATGAGTTATACTGTAATTCAGCTAAAATAACTTGCAAAACTCTCATGTTTGTGTTAAAGACAAAATGTTAAAATGGGAGGGTTTCTTGTAATCTAAAATTAAACACTCTGGTGAAGACAGAAGAATTTAACTCCAGTTATCATCCTTGTTAAAAAAGGAGATTTCAGGAAAATGTTCACTGGAAATAATTTGCTTCTTTTCATTAGGATCATTCACTCCAAATGTTTATTTTTTTTCTCCAGCCTTTTTAAAAGAGGTCTAGACAGATACTCTGAGTAGGTAGTTTCATTACTGATGCCTACATTAAGAGAAAATCCAAACAAAACCAGAATAAAAACCTCCCCTTTAATATTTGCTTCAACTCAATCAAAATCATCAATAATTTTGTCCATAACTACATTCGATCCACTTCTCAGAGACAATGGAATGCCTTTAAATGAAAGAAAGTAGGATAAGATGGTAAAAGAGGTCTATATTCTCAGAAATCTGAAAAAAATAAGACCTCAGTTGAGATATAAACAGAAGTTCTTTGACTCACTAGAAATTAATAATTTTATTGTGGAAAACCATCCAATGGAAATCAATAACAAAAGAAAATCTAATAAATTCAAGGATATGTAGCATGTTTAAACATTTTCTAATATTTGTTAATATTTTCTTTCCACAACTTCTGAAAAGATATATATCCCAGTTACTATTTTTAGGCAAAACTAAGCTGCGAGGAATGCTGTTAGCAGCAAGTAGAGCTAGCAATCCCTCTGAAAATTAGGTACCTTAATTGTCCAAGTTCACTACTTTGAATATTGAACTACATGCTGTACTACTTAAAGTTTTGATCCATTCAAATCAAATTCTTAAATGGCAGGGTCAATGCCACAGTGAGTTGTTAGGGTAAAAAAAGGAAAAACCACTAAATGATTATAGAACTCTAGTATATTATGCAGTTTTATTATGGCAAAATGCCCAGGCCTCATAAAAGATAAATAAGGTTCGAAGCAGGGGAAGAGGAGAAGAGTGTTGTTAAATTTAATAGAAGTTCTTTTATCTTTTATCTTTTTTTCTTTTTTTCTTTTTTTCTTTCTTTTTTTGAAATGGCAAGGGAATGCAAAAGACATCAAAGCAGTTTTCAGTTTTCTTATAAATCTATAAGAAAATGAATTTCAGCAGCAACTTTTCTGCTTTTATTACTAAAATTCTCTTGGAAGCTGAAAGGAAGTATAATTCAGTGCTTGTCAAATTGCTTTGGAGAAATATAATAAATCCAATATATATATGGGAAAAGTTTATCAGCTTTTTTTGTATATATAAAACATGTAAAGTTACTGGATCCTTTTTCTGATTTATTAAAATGGTTTTAAAGAAATAGCCTATTAGATCTGTCTGTAAGAATTTCACTTTGAGAAATACTCATTAATTTCTGGACTAGAAGCCCAACAATATGATATAGCAAGTTAGTTAAATAACGCTGCTACTGCTTTACCTGAAACCGTGGGCAGACATATGAATCTGTGATCAAAGAACAGTGGAAAAATGCACGAATCTAGAATGTTGTCCTTGATCATGACAGCCATGACAGCCACAGGATAAACACATTATTGCCCAGAGAAACATAAGCTAATGACTTTTTTTTTTTTGCCTGCAGGGAGAAAAATCTATCTGTCAAAGTTCACCATGATGTATGTGTACACATTACACTTCATATTTCCACATGTTCCCTTTTAAGTCTTTTCTTGCAAAACCTTACGTAAATCCTTTTTTGTTTGCATTGTGGTCTGAGTTTTGAAGGTTTTGCACATATTCCACCAGTGTGTGCAAATGCAACAAGGTAATTCATATCTACACTGGATAGTAAAACATACATTTTCCTTTGAACTATTTGGTAGATATTTGGGTTCAAGAAAAAATACAGTTATGATAGCATGGTCCTTCTAAGGACAGATTATCTTCTGCATAACTAATTAGTCTAGGTCTAGCTTTGTGCTATGGTATCACTATACTTTCTTTGCTACGGCTTAATAGTTTTCTTTAGCATTATGTGTTACTTTGAGATGAAGGACAAGAATTGCTACACAGTGTAAATACAACTTATGTGGTAGGTGTTTTGTATGAGGGCTGTTCAGTGCCATTGCTTCATACATTTCTTTCTAGAAAAATTCAATAGTATTTTCCATTTGTACATGTTATTGGCCTACCCAGTTATAGAATCATCAAATCATAGAATGTTAAGGGTTGGAAGGGACCTCAAAGATCATCTAGTCACAACTTTCTCAGCCTGTCTTTGTAAGGGAAGTGCTCCAGTGCTCTTATTAACTTTGTGACCCTTCCCTGGATTTGATCCAACAGTTCTATGTCCCTCTTATTTGGAGGTAGCAGAACTGTACGCAGCACTCCAGATGGGATCTCTCAGAGCACAGTAAAGGGGAAAAATCACCTCCCTTGATCTGTTGGACATGCTCCTTTTGATGAAACCCAGGATTTTTTTGGCTTTCTGGGCTGTGAGTACACACAGCAACAACCTGGCTCAATCTTTTACTTTGCTTGAACCCTGTTTGCTGTCGTGGACCCTTTCCTGCCCCAGACTGTGGCAAAGGAGAACCCGGGAAACTCCAGACCTGTCAGCCTGACCTCAGTGCCTGGCAAGATTATGGAGCAGATCATCCTCAGTGCAATCACACAGCACCTACAGGATGGACAGGAGATCAGACCCAGCCAGCACCGGTTTAGGAGGGGGAGGTCCTGTCTGACCAACCTGATCTCCTTTTATGATCAGATAATCTGCCTGGTGGATGAGGGGAAGGCTGTGGATGTATCTGTCTGGACTTCAGCAAAGCCTTTGACACCGTCTCCCACAGCACTCTTCTGAAAAAGCTGGCAGCCCACGGCTTGGACAGGGACACCCTGTGCTGGATTAGGAACTGGCTGGAGGGCCGGACCCAGAGAGTGGTGATGAACGGGGCTGCA